CCCCCCATCTATTGAGTCAGAAATTTCTTTTCTGCAACTTGTGACCATTACTTCTCATCCTTTCACCATGCACTCCTCAGAAATATCAGATGACTCCTCCTCTACAAACACTATTAGCTGAAGACAGCAACCTAATTAGCATTCTCTTCTCCAAGCTGAGCAAACCCACAACGTGAGAGCTGAGAGCCTCCTGATCATTTTGGTGACCCTCCACTGGACTCAGCTCAGTTTGTTGATGTCTCTCCTCTCATCTACCAGGGAGCCCTGAACTGGGAACAGTGCTCCAGATGTGGCCTCACCAGTGCCAAGCAGAAGGGAAGGGAAAAAAGGGGGGGCAGGGAATCACTTTCCTGGCTACACTCTTGCCAACACAATTGGCCAATACTGTTGGTCTTCATCACCCTAATGGTGCAGAACTTAATGTCATGTTCATACAGTCCGGGAGTCCCAGCTCTATTCCTGAAAAGCTGCTTTCTAGGGAGTCAGTGCCAGGCTGTATTGTTGCATGGAGATCCCAACTGCAAGACTTGATACTTACCTCTGCTGGAATTCTTAAGGTTTCTGTCCACCACAAGTGGTTTTTCCACTTGCTGAGACCCCCGGAAGGTGCGAACCTAAACCCTTCAGTGAATCAACTGCTACCCCAGCGTCCTGCAAGTTTGTTGGAACAGTAACATCTACATATAACTGAACATACACGTCACTAAAATAAAACTGCTATGAGACAGACAGGGTTCTAAAAATTATAGTGCTAGAGAACAATGAGAGAAATATGTAACAGACTGACTTAAATTAGCTTGTTAAAGAAATCTACAGAACTATATAAAATTTAGTTTAGAATACCTGAAAATATACAAGGAAGCAATCAAGCTTTCGTTTGCTGGATCCCCTGTCAAAATACTGCCCACAGGTATCGAGGATAGTACAAACTAGTCTGATTCTGAAAAGATGCTCTGGAGGGTCCAGTGGACTAGGGCTACCATCAGGGTTCACACCAAACGATGTGAAAGAATACAGAGTTCGAAATATTACAGCTGATTCCACCATTCGATAATTGTAAAGCTCCCCCAAAAACTTGGCACTGCTGATCCGCCGTTGGTTAAACTTTGGCTGGTTAACCTTTATCAAAAAAGAACAAAAAACTCACTTTATCATGCAAACACAATAGAATCTTTGTAAAAGGTCTGTTGTTTGCTTTTGTGCATTTTTTTTTTATTTAAGAAAAAAGCAGTCTAAAAAAATTAAAAGAATTTGTTATAATAAAAGTTATTTACGGCTACATACATTACACAAAGTTAAACATTAAAAAGTAGTTACGAAAGCTGGTCAACTAGTAGTTATTATAAAGTTCATATACATTTAGCATACACTCTGTCTTAAAGCTATGATGATTTTTCATCGCCCAGAGAATTCCTGGAATTATAACATCTATCAGAATATGGACTAGTCTCCAAGTTACTTGAAGTTGCATGAATCTGACTACACTGTGAAAGAATAAATTGTATGCCCTTACTATGATAAGGGGGACAGAACAACTGTCCTGGTAACCTTTGCAGTTTGTTGGGTTTTGGGGGCGTGTTGTTATTTTAATTTAAATAAACCTACATAAAGCAAACAACTGAGGTAGAAAAGTCGTAAGACATAAATCCAGAATCCAAGGATTCCTTTCTTTAAGCAAGATTATTTTACTGTTTTCCTTTCAACATAAGTAGATAAGTATAGCACAATAAGAATGTTGGTGGTTTACCTCCATTCCTAGTCGAATATCCTCTAGCACTCCATCCACAACATGAATTCCAACATCTTCCTGGTAAAGGACCAACCCTGCTAAGAGGTTGGCTACACAGTGAATACTATTATATTTCACATTCCAGATGTTGATCATACAGCATATAACATAGTCTTTTACTTCTGCATCCTGCCAAGGCAGCTTGCGCATCTGTCTCAGGACCTAAACCAAATTTTAAGACAAGCTTAACATCTTAGCAGGCAAAATATCAAGATACTCACTGTCATCCCGTCTCTCACAGTTGGGATGAAATCCCTGTAAGCACCTGCAAGCAACCTCATTCTTTTTCAAGCATCCTCCAGATCTGCAGTAGCTACAGAAAACTTTATATATGTAACCCAACTGCTGTCCTCTAGCTACTAATCAAGCTGTCCAAATCTGTTCCATAATTTCCTTGCTCTTACAGTCTGTATTTAACTGTAGTCTTTTGTCTCTTACTCTGAACACAAGATACTTAGCACAAAGATTCTCATTTCATTCTCTATTTGTTCAGCACTTAATGCTGTGGAGAATGCAGGTCCATGACTGGAGCTTCTATGCGTTACAATAGAAGAAATGAAACTATCTTAACAATCAGGGATACAAAAATGATCCCTCTTCCTTGCAATTAAAAAAATTATAACCCTCCCCAAACCCTTCAAAAGTTAGTACTACATCACTTCCAGTAAAATCTGTATTAAAGATTTCAAAAGGATTTACCTTCTCTGTGGTGACTTTGGAGAGATCCTTGTAAAGAAGCTTACGAATATACTCCTGCAAAGGAGGACGTTTTTTCTTCACAGTTTTTTCAGCTGGAGGGGGATTACAGTAGTAATAGGCATTTTCTACCATTGTAACATAGCGAGCATCAAGATGCATTGCTTGTTTTTTTCTCATCATTTGTTCCTGGAAATAAATGCAAATGATCAGTTAAAGATGTTGACATGTTACATGTTCAAGCCAAAGGCTTTTACAGTTACGTTTAGGATAAAGGAAACATGAAAGGTTGCAGAAAAGTAAGTTAAAAGCTTGGGTAGAGAGAGGAGAGGAAAGGACAAAACATATATATGGTTCTGTGTTGCTATTTCCAGGGCCATTTTTCTTTACAAACCCCATTTTTATAATGGTTCATCTGTGGTGAATAAGGTTTCAGAAAAGTATTTAAAGTTTAACTTGAAATCTAAATGTTACTGTTTAGATAGATGGTTAATAAGATTATCAGCCACTCTGTTCAAAACATGATTTTATTTAACTAAAGCAGCTGAAATACTGATGTCTTGACACAAGCATAGTGAACCATCATAAGAGTGGCAATCTACTTTTTACAACAGTATGCAAGTCCAGAGAGTTTATATTGATGGTTTCACATGAATTTTCAATGGTTTAGGCAATGGCATTTTCCTTATTACATGCTCCATTGTTGCTGTTTAACCAAGCAGAATAGCCTGCAACAAAACCCAGTACCTACCATAAAGTGGTATTTCAGGAAAAATCAGACAAGTTAAAGGTTTCTACATCAACACTAATTACTGTGCTTAATTGTCAGGATTATCGTAATTTTCCTCACTGAATACAATCTTTTCTCCATACTTCATTTTGGATATGTACTTTAAGATTTATTTTGTGGATTTTAAAAATTTCTGGTACCTAGAAATTCTGCACAAGAACTAAAGTAGCAGTTCTAAGCTGCTGATTTTTACAGTAAAAGATGAGGATGAGCTTAATTCCACTACAATTTTTTTTTATATGCATGTGTGTTTATACGTATATATGTGTGCAATTCTATAAGTTGCATTAAATTTTTATGTACGTCATATGATCCCATATATTCTCAATCACT